AGAGAGAGAGAGAGAGAGACAGAGAGAGAGAGAGAGTGAGACAGAGAGACAGAAAGAGAGGGGGGGGGGGGAAAAAAGCCGACAAAAAAATATAGAATAAAAGGGGGCAATACGACGGGCCAATGTGAGTTAGATTTTTTTTTTTGAGGAAAAACATCAACATTATAAATCAAAAACAAAACAAAAACAAAAACGAGAGAGAAAGAATGAAAGGTTTGCCATACAAAAAAAGAAAAAAAACTAAGAAAAAAATCTGTTCTACATAACAGACACAGGGGGCGAAAAAAAGAAAGAAAGAAAGAAAGAAAGAAAGAAAGAAAGAAAGAAAGAAAGAAAGAAAGAAAGAAAGAAAGAAAGAAAAACACCAGGGGGAAATTACGGGGACGTGAAAGCCGGGTCGAGAAAGTTGGAGCAATACGATCAGCGAAATGAAAAGGGGGCGTCACCCCGGAAATGCAAATGACTCTGGAGAAAAACCATCACTCTTCCCCCCTCGGGGACAGTTGGAAGTTATTATTCCTCTTTGCCTTTACGGCCTTCCGTGACCTTGACCTCTGGGGTTATATCATCGTCCATGTCATCACATTGACCCCTGGGGTTCTATCGTGGATGCCATCACTAGTGGTGGTCAAAATCCGGATAATCTATCCGGATAACCGGATAATTCTCAATGAAACATATTCCGAATTCAGACTAAAACTCTCTTTCCTAACCCGTGTGCGGAAGTGGGTGCATCCCTATTTTGAAGTGATATTAACCCGTTTGTCGAAGCGGTTCTAACCCAAACGCTGAAGCGGTTCATAATACTTTTCATTGCGGAAGAGGTGCACTAACATATTATCCAGATTTGGCTAAAGCGACTCATTGTCCAGCCCTAGCCATCACACACACAAGCCAAAACATTATCTGTAGCAGGGAGAGATTATTGCTTCTACACAGGGCTACGTGCTCGACACATATAGGGCTATGAATATCATACATAAATATTATACACGGCCAACCACTGTTGCCGAATGCCTCTTTCAAACTCTGTCTCTCTCTCTCTCTCTCTCTCTCTCTCTGTTACTCCGACTCTTGTCTATTCTCTCTCTCTCTCTCTCTCTCTTCTCTCTTTCTGCCCGTCTCTCTCTCACTTCTTTTCTGCCTGTCTGCCTGTCTGCCTGTCTGTCTGTCTGTCTGTCTGTCTGTCTGTCTGTCTGTCTGTCTGTCTGTCTGTCTCTCTCTCTCTCTCTCTATCTCTCTGCCTTTGTGTTGTACATATGATTAACCATGCATTCCCTCCTATAACTTCGCGTGTACTGTCAGATCTAGACACGGTGGCATCACTTCTAACATCACGTCCTCAAACTGTAAAAGAAACTCTCTTGAAGTTGAACAGCTTCAGTCTTTTCCACAATAATCCTCCATCAATATAGTCCATAGAGGGAAAACTGTGTAAAACTATTAGTTTTAGTAGAGGTTTTACGGCGCTCGCGACTGCATAAGGTCATATGAGCGCCAGAAGATTAGAGGCGTTACAAGAGAGTAACAAACACAAAAAAGAAGGAGGGGAGATAAGGACGACAGATGTTTGAAAGGAAAGAAGGAGCAAACCACACCAGAGCACCCGCCAACCACCCACCTGTATAGGTTAAACGCCCCTAGCGACACTCTAAAGTTACATATAGCCAGGACCCCTGAATTTAACAACAGTACATGTGAGGCAGCGTGGTGGAATCAGGCTCTCGTCAAAATAATCAAAGTGAAGAAACTTGCATTTTTAAGCAGGTTTGTGAATTTTTATCAAATTTTTGTTTTTTGTCTCAACCCGTTTCATGCCCATTAAAGAACTCATTTTTGTGTTGATTTTTCAGAAAAGCGTGGATTAAAGGCACAAAAATGTAAACTTTCAGTTTCCACGGACTCTTAAGCTAAGGAAATAATTATCTTTTGCGGCCATTTTCTCACTAATTTTATCTCTGAAAACAGCTGACCCCCACCTCCTTCTTTCGCAAATATCTCGACTTGTATTCAAGATAAATGGGGATTTTTTTTTCCATTCAAATAAAGGCAAGTGAACAAGCTTTAAGATTATACCAATAACTCTACATGCTCAAAAATTAACGAGAGCTTGATTCCACCACGCTGCCTCACATATTTCTTTTTTTGTTCAGTCTTAGTAAAAGTTTTACCAGGCTTGCAACACAAATGGGGCATATAAATAACAACAACAAAAAAAAACAAATATAAAAATACAAACAAA